TTTGTGGATGCTACACAGGTTTATTGGGATAGTCTGTTTTTCTGCATCTGCGTGTGTAGTTTTCTTTAAAAGTATGGTTTTAGAGATTCAATATGACTGTTCATCTTAGCATTTTATGTTGTTATAGCTATTATATATCTACATGTGTAGCAGACAAAAATAAAATAAATATAATCCAGCAGGGAGGTGTTATAAATTGGAAAAACAGCCACACTGCGACAGATTGTGACAGTTTCGAGCACTAAAAGAAATTCCTCCTTTGAGATTTTGCTGGTAGTAGTAGTGAAAAATGTTAAAGTTCGACAGCTTTGGCATAACCATGAATCAGTGAGGCCAGTGTTACTCTTGCATTAAACGCCGCCTTTTAAAAGAAATCACAGCATGATGGATGTTTGGTATTTATTGGCATTTACTTTCCTTCCCAAGGAACCAAAGAAGTGCAGCAAAACCAAAAATTGCTGTGATTCATTCTCACTATAATTTAAATCCTTCATTTCCCAGGGCTTTCTCTTTTCTGAGACTACCTGCAGTATATTTTCTTCCTTACTAACAAAGTCCAGGAGTAAAAGACCTAAACAGAAGTTGTGTTGGAAATGCAAATGTGCTCTTCTGGAATGGATAGCCTGGTGTTTGCACAGGGGGATTCTTAAACATCCTGCAGATTTTAAAGCAGAGTAGTTTTTCCTGGCAAGAAATGGGGCCTGGTTTGTACCAGCTGCTATTGTGAACCACTTGATGGATGCATCATGGCGCCTCCAGCTGTTCCTCCTCAAACAACCCTCACATCTTAGCACCGGATCCACGGCAACGCAGTAGGAAGGGCAGGTTGGGCTGTCACTGGTCAGGTTCCCTTATGTAGGAAGGTGGTGGAATAGGCTACACAAGATGCTGCATCACATATGTTAGTAGCTTATTTGCTGCTTGGCTTAAGTCCCTCTTTCTTTAATGTTTTAGCGTGACATCTTTGCAAATCAAATCTTCACTTTTTTTAAAGCTCGTTTCTGGGGCAGCTGTCTCATGTTTAATAAGACAGTTAAGCCCCGAAGGACTGATAGGATAGGTTAATGACAGAAATCACCCCATACCTACGGGCTCCAAATAAAACACCAATTATCTTTTCGCCTTAAGAAGAAAGTAGAACCACAATATGCTTGAAGAAAGCCAGCCTACATTGTGCTTCCTGTCCCTACTGTTGTTCGTCTAAACTGCATGAGTTGGGAGAGGAGTCCTCTGAAGTCAACAATTCATCTACAGGTGTGCGGCTTACTGACACAATGCATGTTGGGATTACCGCTTGTGTGCGGTATACCTTGTGTTTCTGCTGCCATCAGATCATGGTGCTTTTCATCGGCTTTTTGGATATCACAATAGTTCTGTTCAGCATGTTTGCTTTGCAAAACAGAGTCTACTTTCATTTAATAGCTGTGGCAGGGAGTTCAAGTAATGCAGTCACTGACCTATTAAAAGTTCTACTGAGGAAAAATACTTTGCTAATTGCCAGAGATTATTATTTCCTAACACGTGCAAACGAGTTAAAGAAACCAATGGAAGATTTTCAATGAACCTTTCTCTACAGTTTCAGGCACCAGTGTCGCAGACATTGTCCTCAGAGCACCTATGAGGACAGAGGCAGGCGTGTCTGTCTCTCCTGCCCAGCACCATGTGAAGACTGCAGGAATAACACGCACTGCTTTGCCTGCCAGCCTGGTTACTTCCTAAACGGTAGAAGCAAATAACAATCATATATCTATGCTTTCCTTACTATCAGTATACTAAATGATGCAGATGTTCCATACCATACTAAGAGAGTATATTCAATATATTCTTTAATCGCTTTGTTTTTGAGACTAATCAAAGACAAATGAAAGCACTCTGAGTCTTAATTTGGCTTGCAAAGCATGTTCATTTAAGCAAATCTGTAACATAAGATATGCAAATGTATGATTTATGCAAACAAAGAAGAAGGGATTGTGTTTTTGTGTTCTGTAGGCGTGGGAGAAAAGGGTTGGAGACTGTAAATAAAGCCTGGAAACAAAACTATAGTAAAGAAAGGTTGGCGAGCCCACTGCTGCACTAATCGGCCTCCACCTTCTCTAGCTACAAGGTCCAGTTTCAAAAAAAAAAAATCTAGGTCGTTGTTTTGTGCCTGGGCAGTCAGATGGAATTTGGAGAGAGAGTGATCCTATAAGGGCAGGCAAAGGAGAAGGATTTACACAGCAGTGAACAGCTCACTTATGAGAATAAGTTTATCAGCACCATTTAAAGAATAAATAGTGTTTTACAAATCAAAGTAACTTCTTAGGGTTTCTCTTGACTTATTTCTACAGAAAAAAAGTAGAGAACATGTAGAGAAGTGCTTTTGTCTGCTATAGTATCCATGTTTTTAAGATTGTCAGTATAGAAGAAATGCTGTAATGGAATAATGTCGTAATAACATTAGTCCCTTTCTGTGCCTCTGTGTCAGAGGGACAATGCATTAAACAGTGTCCTCAGCAAACCTTCAGCGACTCCAGCGGGTGGCGCTGTCAGTCTTGCCACAGCTCGTGCCAGACATGCCACGGATCTCGTGCAACAGACTGCGACCTTTGTCCTGGTGGGAATTTTCCTGTACATGGACAGTGTCCTCACATTAACTGCCCACAGGGACAGTATTTTGATGGTAAGTAGAGGAAGCACGATGAAAGCTGACTTAGGCTGGTTAAAAAAGAAGTTTTATGTGATCCACTGTAATCCAGGTAAATTACAGATTTACAAATTTACAAACAAAAGGACAGAATGACATATCAGGTCGTAGCTGAATCACAGATAACACTCGTAACGCGATATTTCTCTGAATCTCGGGTGGAAATGATTGCTTTTCTCCTCTGGGTGACACTGGAGGTCAGTACACTGTCCCAGAAATGTGGAGGGATTCATCGTCTTGCTCAAGGACACTTTAGGAAGTTGATACTTGCTGCTGAGCCCACAAGCTTGAACCCTGCTGAAGGACCTCTGGGGTCATCTGCCTCAAGCATCTACCTCTCTAGCCCCTTCTCTTTTGTGTCTGTGTCACCAGCACTTGGATACGATACTCCATTGTTCTTGTTATCAGCCGCACACGGTTAATAAGTCGATTGTTTTAATTTCCACATCATTGGTTTTATTATTTGCTTACGTGTGTGGATAAGCCAGCTTCGCCAGGAGCAGTTCGCATTCAGCCATCAAGTATTTTTCCAAGCTATATACTGACTGCTATTGTAAGGAAACAGCTTCATTTAAAACATTCTACTTCTTGGGTTTCGATTTTAACCCAGGTGTCATTCACATATCTGTGAAACTGACCAGTGCTGTCACTTTGATTGAGCCAAGAGCTGTTATTGCGCATTTGCAATTTAGTGTATTTTCTTTTTAAAACACTAGTACCTGTTTTATCCTTAGGCAACGCTGAACATGAATGGTTTTAGAGCAATACATTTCTAAATGTTTGCTTTTGAGTACAGAATGCAATAGTCCAAAAGCTCCTGATTATCAATCATTTCTGTTTATTTCTGCCCAGAGCCCTTTCTTATACAGTCTATTTGTGCCTGAGACACTAAAGTTAAACCTTGTTATGGTTCCCTCTTGTGGTGGGGATGGTTAAAACAAGCTGTGTGCTGTATGTATATTTTTTGCATCCAGGGAAATATGGTGAATGTCACACGTGCAATGTTTCCTGTAAGACCTGTTTTGGCCCACAGGCACTGGATTGTTCTTCTTGTTTTAAAGGTAATATTTACTGCTTTTAGCCTTTCAGAGTAAACTATCTTAATCGCGATGTTAATTCTCGATGCCAATTGTGCGAGTGTGCATGTGTGCGTATTTGTGCTTCACAGGATATTTCCTGGATCAGGACAGTTCCTGTGTAGAGCAGTGTCCACCTGGCTCATATGCGAACTCTGCCACTCAGCTGTGTGAGGACTGCTCTCCCAGCTGTGAGGCCTGTGTGGACACCGGTGATAACTGCATCAGCTGTTCCAAAGGCACCGATAAACTTTTTCTCCACCAAGGCCGGTGCTGGTCCAATTGCCCAGAGTAAGCAGTTTGATAAGCGGTGAAACAAACACGGAGCTATGCAATGATGACACGATCTTCTTCGTGCTTCGCTTCTCTTTTGTTTTCTCCCAACCGTATTGGGGTTATTTTTGTTTTGTTTTTCTTTAGAGGTTTCTTTGAGACAACAGATGGGTCGTGTGAAGCCTGTGATAGCTCCTGTCTCACATGTGATGAGATCAAATCCCAGTGTCTGTCCTGTGCTGACGGCTACTACCTGGAGAGTGGCATGTGTAGACTCAACTGTTCGCTGGGAATGTATCCTGCAGATGATGGTACCTGCAGACGATGTCCTCCCCACTGTGACGTATGCTCAGATGACAGGACCTGCTTCCGTGAGTTATTAGCACAGTCAGCAGATTTAAAAGATATAAGGTTCGATGCAGGTGAGAGATTTGTGTTACAAATTTTTCACTCCTCCAGGGTGCAGTTTCCTCTACTTGATGCTGAACGGTGAGTGTAAGGCTAGTTGTCCTGTGGGCTATTATGAGGACATGGAGGAGGGCCGCTGCGGTCAGTGCCACCCTACGTGTGGCAGCTGTTCAGGGCCTTCAGCGGATGATTGTGAGACCTGCTCAACCTACAGCCCCAAGCTCTATAAAGGTGTATGCTCAAAGGACTGCCCCGCTGGTACTTACTATGAGGCTGCAGCTATGGAGTGTCAAGGTGAGCACCTGGATTCACAGATTTGGTTTGGTTTTAAACACCAAATATGTAGAGTTTTCTTGTTACGGCTTCACCGTTCTACAGCGAGAATTCTTGCTAGTTTTCACGATGCTACTTCGTCAGTTCAAAGACCATAAATTCAGATGTCAAAATGATTAAAATACATTTTTGATCATTAAATCGTTTTAATATTTTTTCAATTTTGATGAAATTGAAATTTTAGAAATTAAAACTGTAGCAACTATGAAATGCAACTGTCAAATTTCATTTCATTTAAATCCAATGATATTCCCTTTGTTTGAGTTTTGGATTTGACCTTCCTAGTAGCAGGAATTCTGCAGTGTTGCAAAGTTATTTGTTTTTATCCCTCAGCCGTAAAAGGCTGATGGGGCGTGGTTGTCACCTTGCGGAACGGGTGGCTGGCATGAACACTCAAGTTTATGAATGTGATAACTCGAGAAGGAAACCACCTAAGACTTTCAAACCGATAAAATTATCAATTATGTAATTATTATTAATATTATTTAATTAATTAATTATTAACTAAAAATTTCAGAAAACTTCAAATCTCGGTGACCTCGACCTCAAGGTCAGAAGTCAAGTTTTCTGAAAATCTTGTGAATGTGATAACTTCAGAACAAAGCAACATAGGATTTTCACATTTATACCATAGGTGCATCTACTAGGAGCCTGAGGGGTACAACTGGCACCACCAGAACTTTTAAGATAGTAAAAGTAATATTCTCTAATGTTTTTTCACAATGTGTTGCTGAAAGTACTTTGACTCACAGGACTTCCATCTGTGTAATATAGAGTTGGGATATCCCTTTGAATAAGTAGTTGGATAAATTAACATGTAGATGTGTTGCAATAATCATGCCATAATACTCTGGGTAATTGATCAAACTGATCCTTTCCATGTCATAGTTTTTAGGGAATTGATGTAAAAGAAGCCCAGAGTTATTATTATTGTATTTTCTCATTCATTTTTATTTGATTCTTTGATTTCAGAGTTTAATTTAGTTTCCAGAGTGGGTTTGCTATTTTCAGTTTTGGTTTCACTGTTTGAAAATGTTGCCTTTTAGTTTAGTTTGTATTAGTTTTAGTGTTTATTTCACGTGCTGGAGGCAGTGTTTCGGAAAAAATCTGCCACAGACTTTTTAAAAGCAGTTTACTCCTAGTCCTGCAGTATTATAGTATTTATACTATACTGTAGTGTTTATACAGTCGTACCTATACTACTGTATAAATTAGATCATAATGTATAATAAATCAGCTTGCAGCACCACATTCCTTTCAGCAGAACTGCTGATTTTGTTTCACTATACAGGTCCTATTCTCACCACTTGAATTTGTATATCAGCAATCGGTTCTAGATCTCCTCCGCAACGTTAGAAGTGTGACCCTTCAACTTGTCTTTCATTTTGGGGAAGAGGATAAACTCACTAGGAGGCAAATATGCCAGAGTTGGGCCAGTGGTGACAACACCACGTAGCACAGTGGAGATTGCTAAAGTTTCTCTCCCTTAGACAGCTCAGCGTAATATAGTAAAGCTCACCACAGAGAATCAGACAAATTTATGGTGCAAGCTCTGTAAAAGTATAATAAAAAAACAAAATGCACATGTGCCACCTTGAGGTTTGAACACTGTGGACTCCACACACGCTAATGTCCACAGACATGAAAGTTAGGTTAGCTAGACTCAGAAAGTTAAATGTTTTCTCTGTGCTTGAGGTCCTTGGAGTGGTTAGAATGGCACTCACACAGAACAGTCTATAAAGCGTGCACTAGACATCCACACCAAGTACACAAGGAAAAAACCTTGAAAGTGAGATCATCCAATTTTTTCCTCACACTTTCTATTAGACTTTCTTTTCCATACTAATTATCTTGAATAATGTTAAAGCTTGAATAAGTGTTAAAAATAAAATAAAACAGAAAATGTGTAACAAAGGGAGGTTAATGCAGTGGCCAAAAGCCATTACTAAACTCACAACTGAGTGATAATGAAATAAGCTATTTGTTTAAAATGAAATCCATTCACCTCTAAAACATGATTATTGTACCCTCTTGTGTAAATGTGGTAATGTGACATGAAGGTGTTGCAATCTGCTTTGCTTGGTTGTATTTAGAGTGCCACCAGACTTGCCTTAGCTGCACCGGGCCGGACGCCAACGAGTGCACCCAGTGCGAGAGAGGACTCGTGTTGGATCCAAACTCGTTACTGTGTGGTGTGACGGGTGATACAGCCTGCCCACCGGGGACCTACCTACACAACGACCAGTTCACCTGCAAGGGTTGCCACCGACACTGTCTTTCGTGTGAGGGGCCAGGCAACGATGAATGCCAGACCTGTGCTGTCCCCAGATACCTTTACAGTGAGCATTTTCCACAGGTTTATGTGCAGACACAGAGGTGATTTGTGGTATAAATGAAAATCAGCACAAAACTGATTGTTTTAAAGTTGATTTATCATGCAAAGACAAAACAAATCTGAATCATTTATCTTTAGACTGTTAGCTCTACAGGTGCTTGAAAAAGCCTTTTCTCATTTTAATCACTAATGAAATATTTGGCCCGAGTTATAGACTTTGCTTTTGCATTTAGTGCTCTCACAGCTGACTTCATAATAATGGCGTTTGTAAGACTATTTGACAATTTCAGGTTAAACAGATTTATGCAGTTGTACAACTACTGGACAGACTGGTTGCTTCTCTGAAGTGAGTACGCCACCAAGTTAAGGTGCTAACTCTGTTGCTGTATGCTTTTTTCCAGACAGCACATGTGTTAATACGTGTCCTGATGGCACGTATACCACAAGGCAGGAAGCTGATGGAAAGATGTTGGGACTCTGTTTGCCTTGTGACCACGTGTGTTCCTCTTGCACTAGTGCATCACCAAGAGATTGTCTTACGTGTTCTCCAGGATATCTGCGGCTCCTTCAGCTCTGTGTCACCCATTGTCCCACTGGGTAGAAAGCTCTGTTACTATCTGTGAAATGTTTACCTTAAGTAGACAAACAATTTCTGCAAACAGACCGTTATGCTTCAGTGACCCCAAACTAGAGATAATACAGTATTTGTTTTGGAAGTGAACCAAAGTTTCTTAGGAAGAAAGGGTGTAACGTGGTTTCTCCTTCTTCAGCAGCAAAGTAACTTTTTCTTAAAGCTTTTTTTTTTTTTTATCAGTTACATATTTGACAAACATGAAGGAAATGTTTTAACCCATTTTTTTAATGCATTTCTTCAGGTATTACAGGGAGGGCTCCCAGTGTCATAAATGTCACCAGTCCTGTGAGCTGTGTACAGGACCGGGGCCCGAGTCTTGCAGGCCATGTCCTCCTCCTCTGCTGGAGCTGAAAGGCACCAAGCTGTGTGTCGAGCGCTGCCCACACCGCTTCTATCAGTCTAACGACATCTGCAAAAAATGTCATATCAGTTGTCAGACATGCATAGGTAGGTAGAGGTGAAATGTCAAACCAGTGAGTCAACAGAAACCCATTTTTAAGTATTAAGTATTCATGTTTTTTACATTTTATTTATTTTACTGTGTTACATATACAGTGGGGCAAAAAAGTATTTAGTCAGCCACCGATTGTGCAAGTTCCCCCACTTAAAATGATGACAGAGGTCAGTAATTTGCACCAGAGGTACACT